AAACAATTCGAATAATAAAATGAATAAACGAAATAAAATGAATAATTCAAGCAAAACAAATATTTGAATAAACGAATGATGATAACAATTCGAATGATACAATTCGAATAATAAACGAATGATGTCAATTCGAATGATAAACGAATGATGTCAATTCGAATAATAAAGAATGATAACAATTCGAATAATAAACGAATGATAGATAATAATTCAAATAATAAGCGAATGATAATAATTCGGATAATAAATGAATGATAACAATTCGAATAATAAATGAATGATAACAATTCGAATAATAAACGAATGATGATAACAATTCGAATAAACGAATGATACAATTCGAATGAACGAATGATGTCAATTCGAATGATAAACGAATGATGTCAAAATTCAGTTTTGTTGCTTGCTTTTAAATTTTTATTCCGAGTCATCTTTTTAATCTTGGCAAATTTTAATAGTAGTTGAAACCTGCACGGAAGAACCAAAATATTATTTCTTCTTCACACATTTGCATTGCTGCTTTATGAAAAATATAAAATGTCATCATCAATATCTTCCTTTTTATTCATTGATAAAGAGGAATAATTTTTTTAAAAATATAAAACTTGCAAGAATTTTTAATATCACCAAAAAAATTGGTCTTTTAAAAGAAGTTCTGATTAATTTATAAAATAAATAAATAATCATAAAATAATGTCGGTGAATGAAGATTTATTATTTTCTGTGGACCATAAATTCGTTTTTGTTATCAAATTTTTCAACTTCCAACCCCAGTCCAGCTATATATATAAATTAAAGATTAATAAATTAGAATGAAATCATAAAGGTTAAATAATAGATAAATGAACAAACAGATCAATTTCTTACCTCTAGCAACAAAAGCTGCTGATATACATAAATTAACAATCGTTGAATCATGCGTTAGACTTATTGAATTAATTTTTAAAAATTGACATTTATTTGATGTTGTATTGTTTTTATATTCATTGCTACCAATCATTTTTCTTTTTGATTCAGCTGATTCGATAGTCTTTTTGTAGTATTTATTATTTGCAAGATATCTACACAACTTATTTTTGATTTGACTTGCGGTTGGTCTTTTATTGGGATCAGAATCCCAGCATTGTTTCATCAAAATGGCATAAAAATTTGGTGTATCACTGGTTATATTTGGTCTTTTTCCTCCAACAATTTCAATCGCAAGGTCAGTATTATGTGATCTATCATCAAATAGCTCCTTACCAGAAGTATATACCCACATTATCATCCCAAAGCTATATACATCGGATTCTTTTGTATATGGTTGGCCAGATAATACCTCGGGTGCCATGTATGGAATAACACCGTAAACTTTATTGTTTTCTTTGACCGGCTCACATAATCCTAAATCTGCTATTTTGCTTTTCTTTTTCTCATCTATCAAAATATTGCGGCTATGCAAGTCATGATGCACAAAATTTTTAGAATGAATTTTTTTTAACCTGATGAAAAATAAAGAATTATTAGTTTATCACAAAAAAATAATTTACAAAGAATCAAAAAATCAAAATTACCCAATTGAAATATTGTAAAGTGATTCTAATTTATCTTTCCAGGAAAAATTATTAAAATTTTTTGACAAATAATCATGTAAATCACCTCCACGTGCATATTTGAGTACTATCATATAAGTATTTTTCTTTTCATCTTTGGTGATTCCATAACACTCGTTAATAAATTGGTTATGAGTGTTGTAAATTTTTTCATGTGCTTCTAGCTAATAATTTTTAATAATTCAATAATTAGCAATTGATTTAAATTAATCAGTAAATATTCTAAAAATCAAAGAATTTTATTTACCTCTTTTAGTATTATCGGAATAGCATTTTTTGAGTCGTATACGCTTTTCAGGACTACTTTTTTATAAAAAAATTTACTAAGCCAATCGGCAGTATGTATGATTCCGAATCCTCCTTCAGCTAATAGTTTATGATTAAAAAGTTCGTTATGTGGAATCCACTTAATCTTTTTACAGTCATAAATAAATTTTGCCAATTCTTTATCTCCGCATTGCTTCGTTAAATTTTTAATCATTGTTTCTTTAGTCTCGTCTACTCGGTTGTTTGATTTGGAGTGCGTATTTCATTGTAAGATTTATTGGTTTACGCAAAAAGGATTTTGTAAAATTTGTTTCATTAACCCTACTTAATCATCATTACGAATAAAGAAATATCAATAATACAAAATTTAACATGTAACAAATATTAATATAAATAATATCGTGCAATGTTTTTCTTTTTATGGGTAGATAATAAGCAATATGACAATCATTCCATATGCATTAAATGGAAAGGTTCCAAATGAATCATCTAATGATGTATGATCATTAAATTAATAGGACTGTTGCATTTCAATGCATAATAATAATCATTATTGCAAATTGAATTCTGTATAATTTAATAAATGGTTTCGAAAGTCAAAAAAATATTTTCCTAGTGCAATAATTGCATTTGCTTTTCCATCCACAACCGTGAAATGGTTACACATAGCACCATGCTCGTTGAAGAGACATCATGCAATTATCGTCATTCATCATTGTCATATTTGATAATATTTACTAAACCAATCGGCAGCATGTATTATTCTGAATCCTCCTTCAGCTAATGGTTTAACATAATAAATTCCTTCATGTGAAATCCATTTAATCTTGATCCCATCCTTTCTACAGTTATAAAAAAAATTTGCCAATTCTTTATTTCCGCATTGCTTTGTTGATTTTTTAATCATTGTTTTTTTACTGTTGTTGCTGTCTTCGCGCATTTTTCGTTATAAGATTTATTAACGTATAATAAATTTTTAGCAAATAGTTTTGATGCATGTAACCTTCCATAATACATATATATTTATTTATTAATTAATTTTATTAATGGTTGGCAGACCCATTCAGAAGAAGTTTTTTTATCTGGAAGTGCTTTTGAAATAAACATTTAAACTAAGGGAATATTTTGTTGAAAAGTTTTCAATAAAACAATTTACACACATACTGTACTGTATGTAAATTAAAATTTCTAATCTTCACTTATTTGGATTATGACTTTTGGTATGTGTTATATATATTTATAGTGAAAATTTGTATTGTAACCCATAATTTGTATACAAATTAACCTCTCTATTATTATCTACTTGTAATTGTTTTAGATATTGATAAAGATTTGGTTATGCCCATGTGCTGGCTACTTTTTTTTGAGGAGGGAAGTTTGGGAATAATTTCAAAAAATTATTACTATTTTATTTTATATGTTGAACTTACATATTAACAATCTCTAAATATATATACTTTAAACCTCCATCTGCTTGTGAAATTTAGGCAATGGCATTTGATCCAAAAATTTATTGAGCTATCTCAAAATAATCATCAAATATTTATTATATTTATATTTATATTTATATATACAATAAGAGCTACTAGAAATCTTTTATAATTATGGCATAGCAAATCTTCATCACATCATCCTTCAGTATCACAAAAAAAACATTAAAATCATTCAACTTTGTCAAAGGCCAGAAATTTTTCTTATAGAATTTCTATTTGTAATTCAACCAATCAATTACAAATAGTAACCTTTATTTGAATAGAGACTTTAAAACAAAATAACAAGTAACACTAGTGATTAAGTCACTGTCATAAAGCATTCATCTAGTTTAAAATTATAAGATTGTTTAAGTGATAACATTTCTGGTGCTAACCAATGGAACAACAATGGTTAAATATTCCAGCCTTTTAATACTTCGAATAAATTTGCAATTTTTGGTTCTTTTTTTTTTTAGTCATCTGCAAATAAAATATTATTTTAGATAAATATATATACACTACTACACACATAATATGTTTGTATAGTTTTATCTGTTTACCATAATATTTCTACAACGTATATCATAATGAAATATTTTACATGAGTGTAAAAATGTAAGTCCACAACAAATTCCAAGAGCTATTGATACTTTGTCAGGCCAACTAATGACATAGTTGTTGTAAACATTATCCAAATTGCCCATTTCTATCCATTCAAGTGCCATAACTGTTGAATAATCAACTGTAGAAAGACCGTAGAATCTCAATATATTTTTTGAATCATGTAATTTTTCCAAAATAGCTAGTTGTGTTTGAATCTTTTGATATTCATTAGCTGATAGATCATGAATTATTATATACCGACAAGCAACTCCTATATCATCTTTTAAAATTTTTTTGCGAATATAATATGGCCTGCCTTTCTTCTCGGAAAACAGATGTTTTTTTATACTTGGGATCTTGTAACATATTTGGTGGTATTTGAGTTGCCTTTATAGAATTATTATCAGCAATTTGATTTATCACAGTACTTGCTGTGGCTATTAAAGAAGCAAAAGGCCTAAATGCTTCTCCCACAGAATCAGTAGTATTGTGTGATGGTTTATCCATTATTATTTTTTGGATAATAAAGGATAAAATTGACTTTATTTATATATGAACTTGTGATATATGCCCCATAAAAAGGTCCGGAAAATTCTAGTTGGTTTACTCACAAAGGATTTTGTAAAATTTGTTTCATTGTAAGTTTATCACATATTTTACAACCTTTTTATGATATTACTTAATCATAATTAGTTAGCCAATTGACCGTGACCCGGCTTTTATTTTTTTATATTAAAATATTTCAACAAGGAAACAGAAACGGAACACCCTCTATTTGATCATTGAATCGTAAACTACACCATTTCAGACATTGTACCTTCAAATTCTGATGTTTGTCCTTTGCGATCTGTTAAGGATTTCATACTTTCAATATACTCATAATTCTTAAAAACTTTTTAGGATTTTCTTTACCCATTTGAAGTACATTACCTAAAAATTCTCTGCCCCGTTTTTTTATATGGCAAAAGAAAGATTTTATAATTTTCACCCAATTAGGCCTGTGACATATAATATGATAGATTTAAATTTAAACCTTAAGAACTTTTATTTATATATCAAAATCAAAATTTTAATTGATTTAATAAATTTTTATCTAATGAATCAAAATAAATCTTGTTTTTTTGGTCGATTCATAATAATTTTATTTCAGAATCCAACAATAAACCACTGTTCCTCAGGCAGAATAAAATATTATGTGAACTTATATGTGAAAATATATTGAATCTTTGTGAAACTAACGAAGTAAACAAAAAATACTGTAAAGGAAAAAACACTCAAGTTCATAACGAATAAACTTTATTTGAATAGAAACCATAGTAATAGTGAACCATTAAATAATAACAATGGCTGTAAGTTAGGAGAAATAATGGTAATATGATAATAATAGTAGTAACAATAATAATACCGGAAAGCTTAGTACCATCTGAGAATTTTTTCATCAACTGGGATTTATTACAAAGAAAAAGGAATAATAGTATGTCATTTGTCTAGTGAATTATCTGATAAAAAAATTATTCAAACTCTTAGCCGGTTAAAGCATTTTTTATTGGCTGACATCACTAATTTTTGGAACAAACATTTTGAATTACAAACATTTCTACCAAAATCAAATTGGATGATTTTTACTATATGTACTTCCAATTTTGATTGATGAGAGGAATATATCCCAATCACAAAAACGTGCATCTGATATTTGATATTGTTTGTTGGATAGACTTGATATTTTTCGCAAAAATTTAGTTTGTCTTTAAACAATAAAATTTATCGATAGTGATCAATTAAATATGATATTTTAAAATGCTATACAAACAGTTTAATTACCTTTTTTTTTAATTATTTTTTTAGATAATTGTATATACAATAAATTAACGATTTTTCAAATAATAACAACAAAAATAAATGTTCCTATTTAAATAGTACCATATTTTCCTGAGAACAAGCAACAATTTTTTAACTGGAAAGTTACTTATTCCTAGAGGTTTTATTATAAAAAATAAAAATCTTTTAATGTTGCCCATTCCCAAGGTACCTGCGATTCTTTTAATAAAATTCTTTTCTGTAAACAATGTCGTTGATGTGGTGATTAAGTTTTTAGAAGTTCCTCCTGTTTGCGCATCCATTCCGAAGGTACCTGTGATTCTTTTAATAAAATTATTTTCTGTGAACAATGTCGTTGATGTGATGAATAAGTTTTTAGAAGTTTCTCCTATTTGCGCATCTATTCCGAAGGTACCTGTGATTGTTTTAATAAAATTCTTTTCTGTGAACAATGTCGTTGATGTGGTGATTAAGTTTTTATAAGTTCCTCCTATTTGTGTATCTATTCTCAGGGTACTAGTGATTTTTTTAATAAAATTCTTAAAATTCTCTTTTGTAATCAATGTCGTTGATATGGTGTTTAAGTTTTTAGAACTTCCCCCCATTTGCATATGGTCAGCGGAATATAATCCCAACCCCAGTCCAGCTATAAATTAAAAATTAATAAATTAGAATAAAATCATAAAATTTAAATAATAAATAAATGAACAAACAGATCAATTTCTTACCTCTAGTAACAAAAGCTGCTGATATACATAAATTAAAAATTGTTGAATCATGCTTTAGACTTATTGAATTAATTTTTAAAGATAGACATTTATTTGATGTTGTATTGTTTTTATATTCATTGCTACCAATCATTTTCCTTTTTGATTCAGCTGATTTGATAGTCTTTTTGTTGTATTTATTATTTGCACGCAAATGATTCTCAATTTGACTTGCAGTTGGTCTTTTATTGGAATCAGAATCCCAGCATTGTTTCATCAAATCGGCATAAAACTTTGGTGTATCGCTGGTTATATCTGGCCTTTTTCCTCCAACAATTTCAATTGTAAGATCAAGGTTATGTGGTCTATCATCAAATGGCTCTTTTCCAGAAGTATATACCCACATTATCATCCCAAAGCTATATACATCAGATTCTTTCGTATATGGTTTTCCAGATAATACCTCAGGCGCCAAGTATGGAATAACACCATAAACTTTATTGTTTCCTTTGACTGGCTCACATAATCCTAAATCTGCTATTTTGCTTTTCTTGTTCTCATCTATCAAAATATTGCGACTATGCAAGTCATGATGTACAAAATCTTTAGAATGAATTTTGTTTAGCCTGATGAAAAATAAAGATTATTTATTTATTAGTTTATCACAAAAATTTACAAAAATAATTTACAAAAAGTCAAAATTACCCAATCGAAATATTCAAAAGTGATTCTAATTTATCTTCCCAGGAAAAATTATTAAAATTTTTTGACAAATAATTATGTAAATCACCTCCTTGTGCATATTTGAGTACTATCATATAAGTATTTTTCTTTTCATCTCTTGTAATTCCATAACACTCATTAATAGAATGGTTGTAAATTTTTTTATGTGCTTCTAGCTAATAATTTCAATAGTTCAATCATTTAATTAATTAAGTAAATTACTAGGTAAATATTCTAAAATTCAAGGGTTTATTTACCTCTTTTAATATTGGTGGAATAGCATTTTTTGAGTCGTATACGCTTTTTAGTACTACTTTTTTATTATAAAATTTATAATACCAATCGGCAGTATGTATGATTCCAAATCCTCCTTCAGCCAACAATTCAACATTATAAAATTCTTTATATGAAATCCACTTAATCTTGATCCTATCCTTTCTACAGTTATAAAGAAAACTTGCCAATTCTTTATTTCCGCATTGCTTCGTTAAATTTTTGAATTTTTTACTGTTGCTGCTGTCTTCGCCTACTTTGTTGTGGGGTTTGAAGTACATTTTTCATTGTAAGATTAATTACTCAAAATGATTTTATAAAATTTGTTACATTGTGAGTTCATCACATATTTTATAAACCCTTTTATGATATTACTTAATCATAATTATGAATAAAGAAATATCAATATTATAAATTTTAATGTGTAACAAATATTAAAATAATCATTCACGCAATGTTTTCTAGCAATATGACAATCATTCCATATGTATAAATGGAAAGGCTCCAAATGAATCACATAATTTGATTTGTTTCATTTGAATTGAATATGACTTATGATTTGATTTGAACCTAGCCTCATAGGACTGCTGCATTTTAATACATAATCATTATTCATAATTACTCAAATTATTGCAAATTGAGTCAAAAAAATATTTACCTAGTGCAATAATAAAAGGCTCCGCATTGCACTATGCTCGTTGAAGAAGTTAATGAAGAGACATCATTTTCAACAATGCAATTATCATTCATCATTGTTATATATCAGCCGTTAAAAAAACCTTAGCCGTAAACTCTTAACCAGCTAAGAACTTGTATAATATTTTTTTATTTTTATTGTTTAATCAAAAATGTTATTGTTATTATAATTTACTGGTCCCGTCCTACCTAGTGATGTAAACCGGAGAAAAACCTTAACCGGTTAAGGACCTGGATAAATTTTTTAAATAACATATACTTTTTTAAAAATCGGTTGTTTTTATATTTTTAAAGTCTGTTTCTTTTTCTTTGTAAATAAATCAGGTGGTATTATTGCTACTATTATATTACTATTGTTTTCTTTATTATCCTGCTACGAGCATTTTTTTTTTTTGAGCAAATGTATGTTTTTTTCTTTTGTCACTACAACTAATGCAAATAGACCCATCTCAATTAAGTGTCTATGTCAATGAATTTTCCACTGAATTCCTAAATGTTAAGAAAAAAATTTTTATCATCTTAGCCGGCTAAGCCGTTAAAATCCTTAATCGGTCACGTCATTAATAAAAAATAATTTAAAACATTAAAAAAAGTTTCTATTACAGGACAAATCAAATCAAATCAAGTCCAGTTTTCTTTTGGATTTTATTCCAGTATGCCCAAACAAGAAAACTTATTCAAGAGTTAACTGAGCAAAAAATCAAAATGGTAAAAATTAGAGTCGAATTTAACAAGCCAGACAAATCCTGAATAACCAAGTGAAAGTAAAAGCGAAAGAAATGAAAAAAAAAGAAACCTAGCGCGTGATTTTATATTTGGGTTAATTATTCCGTATGGAAGCTATCGAGTAATTTAGAGAGATCACAATTTCGAAATTGCCTTTTTTTCTAAAGCCCTACCCGAATTTTTTGTTTCCTTTTTTAGCTCACTGCGCATTTACAACTGTAAGTTATGACTAAACTTTTGGCTTGCCATGACAAATCTAAGCATTAACTAAAGTCAGTTTTTCATCAAGGCTATTGTGACGATTTGACTTAAGTAAATGCCCTTGACGTAAGTAAAATCACTGATGTAATTAAAATCACTTAAAAATACTTGGTGAAAGTAAAACACGATCTAAAAATAATAAAATTAAAAAAAAAAATTTTTGTCACACGATTTTCTTTACTTTTGCAAATAACCTTGATTTAATTTTGACTGTCAATATAAAGGACGCACATCCATTTTTGTGGTATGTAAACTTGAACTAACTTAACCGCCCAAAATTTTTGAAAAACATTATAATAGTAGTATACAAAAAAAAATAAACAATAGTAACATTACAATGTTACATTCTTCCTTTACTTGGTCGCGGTTCTATTAAAAAAAATAGCAATTGTAAGTATTTAGTCATAATATTATATATATACACATTTATTAGATATTTTACAAGCCTTCAAAGCAACAATTTTACTTGCGTTAAAAAGTTTTTACTTGTATCATTTTGACATAATGACAAGTGAATTTGACGAAATAGTGTCAAACAACATTAACTACACGTGTAACAGCCAGTTTGTTTATAAACAATTTTATATTAGGAAGAAGCATTACTTTTAAGGTAAATATCTTACTCAGTTGGCGATCCAGCTATGAATCAGTGAAAACGTCGGCGGTTCTTTGGTCTATACTGTATACAGTAAGTAGTAAGAATGGTTGACGAAATTCTACTTGCGGGAACAAAACAATCTATTATTAATTCATTAATATTAATATACAATGAATCAAAATCGGGAGGTGAAGTAAACAAAATTTATGGAGTACAAATTAATTGTAATAGCTCTAGAAAGAAACCGTTAAGAGAATCAGCAATAAAATACTTCAAGAACTAGATCACAAATAAATACTATGAGTGCAAGTGCAAATTCCAATGGCTGAAGAAGTCAAGCGGAAAATACATTATTACACCGTAACAAGAATCAAGCGGACATGAGGAAAATAGAAAAGCAACCTGGTTGGTAATTGACGGAATTAATAAACCAAAAAATTGTATCAACGAGAAAGGAATGAAACGTTGAAAAATTAGAAGTTCAAAATCAAGCAGCCTCGGAGCTAAAGGAAAAAGAAGAAGGAAGAAACAGGAGATAGAGAAGAAAGAATTCATCAGGGAACGATGAATTTTAAGAAGGGGAAGGTTGTGAGATAGTGAATCTTGGACCTATCAATTGCCCGGTTAATATTGACCAATTAGAACGAACTTATTACGGAAGTCATGCGATGCGCTAAATATTACATCACGATCAACGACCATCTTTCTATATATTATTGTAATGGTTGCGTCGCATAACGTGTAATGTTATACTGAAGATCTTTATATTCATATTTCTACTTATGTATTTCATGTATTACTCATTTGATGTAAATATTTATTTAGAATTAGTAAGTAATTAGTTGATAAGCATATTATTGGAGAGTAGAATAGCACTAATTACAATGTTTGTACTGCCCCAAGAGGTATAAATACATTTGGTTTTAGACCAGTTAATAACAATATTGTTGATAACAATCTTGATAACAATGACATAATAACTCCTAACACTCTAAATAAATATATAACCCTTACATAAAATAGTCTATGACTGTAATTAACTACCAAACTCAGTGTGATTGATTCCCAGCCCTTCTAATGATTATGGTCTGGCCAACCTTTAATCATTAAAATAGATCTGACTCTCTCCTCCAGAATACATACAATATTCAATAAGAGAATTTAAAAAATTACCAACTTTTGGTAAACATGATGATATTAACTACACACATCAGAATATTTAATTTGGAATAGCAGACTTCAATGATTTAAATAAAACAAATAAAAGTACTTGGCAATAAAACTTCAACAAGATCTCAAAAATTTTACAAAGCATAATCATTAAATATATATGATTTATGTACTTTAGCAAATCAAAATTATATAAATAATTGAATCAATTTTTTGCAAAGAGCATAAAAAATATGCCAAGGATTCAAATATGTATGTTTGGAAATTTACATTTAAATTTATTTACATTATAATGAATTTAAATAATATGGATCGGGCATTAGCAAAACTTAATCTATTCTATTATGGTGATTCATTAAAATATAATCCACCTACAAATTTATTGTCTCCTTTAAATGGGTTTTTTATTCTCTACAATATTAAATTCAATCAAATCAATTTAATCAAGGAATTTACAAATCAGTAACCCACTTTGGACTGTGGAATTATAGTTATTAATTATATTGAAAAAGAATTGGGAATAAGTAGTTTAACTTGGAGTAGAGATCAATCATCCAATTTTAGACTAAGATGCTTGTGTTTATTAACTAGTCACATAAATAATTTATGAGTTATAAATTTTCCTTCTGATGTTGGAAATTTAATTAATGAAAAATTTCCATTTAAATCATATTTAAATTATTTAAATGATATTAAAGAAGATGATAATTCTTCATTATATTATCCACTTTGGACAAGATCAAAAGTAGATTTGACAACAATGAAATTTATGATGAAATGGAAATTATCATGAAAATGAAATTAATTGTGAGATTGATAAAGTGGGAATTGATCACAAAAATGAGACTGATCATGAAAATATATCAAAGAAAAACATCAATTACTAAAATTTATTATAATTAAAAAAATTAAAAAGTTTATTAATAATATTCAATATTAATTGTTAATTCAAAAATTTGTTTTTGTTAAATCTTAAATATCCATCATTATTTGGATTATTATCAAATTCTCAAATTCTTCATATAAATATATTGAATCCCAGTTAATGTCATTAATATTGTCCAGTGTGTTTAATGCAATTAAAAGGTCATTGTGAACATTATCAACATCACCAATTTGACATGAAAAATTTTTTTGCACTTGTCTGATAAACAAATATTTGATAGTATACAAATTAATTTGTAAACATTGCTGTTCTTATCTTTGAAATTGGTGTGATTTGGAGAAATTAATCCCAATTAATAATATATATTAACCTTTGACTTTGGATTCCTTTAAATATATTACCAGCTGTATTTTTGTATCAAACATTTTTTTAGTAATGAAATTTTTTTATCACTTAACAATGACTTATTGTTTTTACCATAAATATCATTAAATAATTTTATTTGTAAATTACCATAATTATAGCAGTCTTCAGTGAATAATTCCAATGTAAAAAATTCAATATCCACCTTGTTGTGTATGTTGTTAAAAATCGGCGAAATGATTTTATATCTAATGTCAACCCTTGTGTTTTATAAACTGTCATTGCAAAACAATTTTGCAAGGAAACAGAGTATGACTTGTACAGTTTCCATTAACGAAAAAATAATTGTTTTTTTTACTTCAATATCTTCGATTTTTTCATGAGCACAAAAAGCAACTCGTATATACAAAACATTTTTTCCAAGTTTAGATATAAGGTTACACCAATTGTAGCATTACACATTTCAAAGATCATTACTCGAGCACCTTATGTAAACCAATGTAGGGTTCAAAATTGACCAGTATTACGGTGCAGATCATCTATAATCATTAATTGCTTATAATAACAATTGGTCAACTTCAAAATACTAAAACAAAAAAAAATTACCTAATTTTAAAAAATTTAACCGATAAGTTTTATTGTTCATGACTCAAGTTTCAAAACTTATCGGCTGGTTTTTCTTAAACTGAAAATTGACTGAGCCTTTGCATTTTTGAAAATTCCGAATTTAGCTATACACTTAAGAAATTGAGACTAAGTAAATTTCGTGAAGCAATTTTTTTTCATAAATATTTCTATAACATACATTTGATTTATTTGAATTATTTATTTCCTTTTTTTTATTAATAAATAAAAGTTATTTATATACAACAAAAAAGTTTAACGAACCTATTACATTAAAAGAAAATCATTACCAAATTTGGTCGTGAGTTCCAAAATATTGTAACACGAAAATTGTCAAATTTAAAAAATCTATTACTATATATGAAAAGAAAATTTGAGACAATTTTTTTTTAGATTAATAAACTCCCTTTTAAAGCTGAATTGAATGGTAGTAGATTTTTTAAAATTTAATGTGTGGGTCACATAATTTTAACTTTTGAGTATAGATGTTTGAAGGAAGAACAACCAATAAAAAGAATTGATGTGATCCACACTGTATGTTGAAATTTTGGTAAACTTCCACACAATGCTGGTCGATTTTGAACCCTACATAGATTTATGTAAGATTTATTTTCAGCCATTTTGATGATTTGACTAAAGTAAAAAGCCTTGACGTAAAGTAAACACTTGACATAAGTGAAAAGAAAAAAACTTAACTAAAAAAGCAAGTAAATAAATAATATTATTATTTAGTTATAATAATATATTATATTTATTGTGTTTAAATTGATATTTTATTAGCCTTCAAAGAAATTTACCAAATAATTTTCACTTGTGCCATTTTTGACTTAACGGCAAATGGATTGATGCTACATGTGTAACGGCTGGTTTTTTTTTCATAAATCAAATTTTTTATAATAGGAAGAAAGCATTTACTTTCAAAGGTATTGGCAATTCGGTTATAAATTAGTAAGGCTCCGCATGAGCCAGCTCGCAAGCCAAATAACTTAGTAGGCTCGCAAGCTGAATAAGTTTTTTGGCTCACAAGCCAGCTCGTGAGGAGCTTTATAAATTAGTATTACAATTAGTATTAAGTAGAATTCAGATGTCGATCGTTTCACATATCTTACATATCTTATTTTCTTTAAATGAATATACTAATACATATATATTAATATCAATAATCTGACATAAAATTTGTTATTGTGACGCGCTTTTCATGAAAAGATGATATTTTACCATAAAGAGTTTGATGAAAAACTAATAAATATATTATTTGGAAATTCCCTATGTATAGGAATGTTCTTTTTTATGAAAACTTTGCAAAAAGGGAAATTTAATTGTGGCTTAAATTTTTGTATATAGGAGTGCATTCAATAGTGATATGATGATGACATGTGATGATTAGAATTAGTGGGTTGGAGGTGGTAGGAATTACAAAGCATTTACCAACTCTAAAATTAAATCCTATTTGTCGTATAGGTACTGTATACGTATTTCATAAAAAGAACCTTTCTGTATATAGGTTTACCCATATATTTTCCATAATCGTGACAAAGGAACATGCTTATATTAACCAAAACATTCATCAAATGATCCAGGTTCGTGCTCAAAAGTATAAGTATATGTACCCAATCCAAAAAATATTATTATTTTCCTATTTAGCGCAAATGATTTCTAAACTCCGTCGTCATTATAAAGTATTAGCGATTGTAATAAACAAAACTTCCATCTGTTTTTTCTAAAACTAACTTTATTTGTCAAACGGATTGTTGTACTGTTTCATTAATGTTTCATTTTTTTTTCACGCGTAAAACAAGAAAATCTGCTTATGAAGAAAACCGATATAAATATGGACGTTGGATCATTAAAATCAAAAAACCAAAAAAATCAAAAAAATCAAAAAATCAGAAAATCAGAAAAAATCAAAATCAAAATCAAAATAAAAAAATCAAATCAAAAATCACAATTAAAAATCACCAATCAAAAAAAAAAAATAGCAACTATCAGACGAAAATGAGCCGTTCAATTCATCTTTTTATTTTTGGTTTCTTGTGCCTCTTGGCCTTCATCATCTCTAACGTCTCTGCTGGTGTCTGTACTTCTGGCCCCAACTGCGATTGCGATGCAGCAAGCACCGCTGGCTGTAATCCAAACGGATGTATAGGTTCAGGTCTCCGCTGTGGCAGTGAATTAGGTTGCAATCTTGGTAATGATATATATCAATGTTCTCCTGAGGGAAACTTTTGTCATATTGGTCCTTGCAAAAAGGGCTGCGTATTTGGTAGTCCTAGCAGTCAATGTCAAAAATAAATGTCAATTAAAATTTTTTATTTTTCATTATTATGTATTATTATTTTATTATCATTTGTTAGTTATTTTTATTTTGATTAGGTTCTATGTTCATAATTTTTAAAATCAATAAAATAACAATTGTTTTTGAACCTTTTTTTTCATCGACTTATGCTTATCACAATTTTGATAATGTAGGATTTAGGATTTATGACAATTTTTTTAATGTCTTGTTCATAGATTATGCAAAATATTTTTCTATAATCTTAAAAGATGTAACTATTTCCAATTTGATTATATGATACGGTACTCCTAAATTTTGTATGACTTTTGAAAACATATAACTCAAGTATTTTAAAGTTAAACTTCATAAATTGATAGATTAGCCCTCTAGCTTTAATGTAATGGAAAGATTTTGGGGAAAAAATCATTTATTGTAGAGTTCTTATATTCACAAAGAATTTCGCCGCGAAAATCCTGACTAAATTCAAAGTAGATTGCGAGATTATTTCTAAGCTAATTCATTTTACGTACGTGTTCAAATGAATTATGATTTTAATTCTATATTGAAATGTAAAATAATGCTTTACAACTCCTAAATATCAAAATAGTCTATTAAAAAAATGTAAAAGACTCTAAACCATCAAGATTTTGTTGATAACAACTCTTTAAACTTTAGAAGAAACAGTTTACGACTCAGTGATAATAATTGGTTCAGAAGATGAATCTGAATTACCATCTGACAACGAATTAAATGGTGAAATTTGGTATGATGATGCTTTTGATAATGATTTTAACTATCAAGTGTTTGACAAATTGCAAATTCGTCAAGTTCTAATTCAAGAAAATCTATTATTATTATTAAATAATTTTTTAAAATAATTTTTTTCTAATTACATGTGGGTTCATTTTGGAAATTCTCTTAAAAAAATAATTTCATTCTTTTTTTTTGAATAAATTACAAAACTTTGCACTGCAGCGCAGCAATAGGAGATTCCGCGTTATTACAAGCATAACAGATAATAATAATATAATTGTTTGTGAAGATCTCAACACCCTTTATATGGAATATATTCGAAATAATCACGCAACTAGGTTAATTATTATTATGGCAACTAATCCAATTATGGCATTACAGTGATGATCATTTATTTATTATTAAGAAGGGCAATTATGGCAAACAACTATATTCTGCACCATACTATATTAATATTAATATAAATTATGCATGATTTCTTTTGGAGATGGCGTAAAATTTAATTGTTTCAGCTTCGTATTATCCATTATTTGAGGTTCGGAAGAAGACTAGATTCGGAACCGTTTAAAAATGGCTGTATAATAATAATGAATTTATGAAGTGTCACGAATAAAATTTCAATCTATATCGCTTACAATTTTTTTTTATCTACAAATCAACTGTGTCTATAATAAGTGACATCTTTGCTCCCTTACGTAAATTTAAGTTACAATTTCTAGAATATCCACCAACAATGGACTTTTTAAAATTCAATCGGAAAAGGCAGATTACAAATGTCTTGTGAGTTTGTTAAAAGAAGTGAAAAATCGAGATCATAAACAGACAGCTCTCAAATATTTGAATTGGTTGATAAGAATGTTAATGTGAATTATGTTTATAATCAAATGTATAT